ATCCTGAAGATTAACATCAGGATGGGCAGCTTGAAAAATGGCTTACAGGTGCCATTTTAGTTTCTTTAGCAACTCAATTTTCCTAGGTCATACCTAAATAAAAATAATTATGCTTTCTGCGGTAGAACAAGGTCATTCTGACCTCCTCACCCACCTTTTGGCTGGAAATTAGGCAAAGGATTTTTACAGTCTTACAAAAAAGAGGTATTGAAACTCCATAAAGTATGGTAAGATGAATCAAACTGAAGCCTCTTACATTTATTTTATAAATTTCTTTTTTTTTTTTTTTTTTTTTTTTTGAGACAGAGTCTTGCTCTGTTACCTGGGTAGAGCACAGTGGCACAATCTCGGCTCACTGCAATCTCTGCCTCCCGGGTTCAAGTGATTCTTGTGCCTCAGCCTCCCTAGCTGGGATTACAGGCACGTGCCACCATGCTCGGATAATATCTGTATTTTTAGTAGAGACGAGGTTTTGCCATGTTGGTCAGTCTGGTCTCAAACTCCTAGCCTCAAGTCATCCTCCCGCTTCGGCCTCCCAAAGTGCTGGGATTACAGGTGTGAGCCACGGCACCTGGCCACTGCTTTAGGTAACTCTAGAAAGTAACTCCTCACCCTTCCAGGTTCCTTTTTGGAAAATAAATCAACATTTGCCTACGTGACCAATCACTTTCAGTGTCAGAGTTTCTGTTTTCATATTCTCAGTCTGTATATCATTCCAGCAGTTGCCAACAGTAGCTGTCTTCCATGACTTATAGGAGAATTACTAAAGGAATAGACTAAATATTTATTTTAAATAACAAACAAAAAGACTAAATTAGCAGCAAGAATTATTTCTCAGGAATTCACCTGCAATTCCAGCTACTTAGGAGGAAGGGAGGATCTATTGAGCCCAAAAGTTCAAGACAAGCCTGGGCAATACAGGGAGACTATGTCTCTAAAAACAAACAAAAAGTTTTTCCTGTTTTATGACAGTCACAAAGATTTATTATTTCTCAGAATAACAGACTTCATTTGACAGTTTTAGTTGTTATATTAGAATTATCAAGCATCTTATGAGCTGAGATTACAGACTCAATTTCTGAATACAGGACAGGGAAAATCTGACATAAATGAGGAAAGCCTCAAACTTTTTCAGACCACATGTTGCATAACGAATTTACAGCTGTTTTATTTCGTTGGTTACACATTGAGTACTATGATGAGAAGCATCCAAATAGATAAATTCACAGACCCAGCAATGAATTTTACAGCCTGGAACAACCTATACCAAGTGGTATGAGTAAATATTCTCATCAAATAGCCCAAAACATCTCCACTGGTTCCAATAACTGATTACTGATTTCTACATCACAAAGATTAGTTTTTTCCAATACCTAACTCTTATTAGAGACCCGGATATTTATTATTGAGGCAGAAGAATAGGGTCAGCAGGCAGGGAACTTAAGGGCAATTCATGCTGAATCAAGGAAAAACACCAGGGTTTGGGGGCAGGGAATCTGAGGTCAATTTATGTTAACTTTCTAAAAGAGAAAACACCAAGGTCTGGGGGCAAGGAATCTAAGGCCAATTCGTGCTGACTTCCCAAAGCTGAATTCCCAAAAGGAACCCCCTGGGTCTAGGGGCAGGGAACCTAGGGCCAATTAAGGCCAACTTCCTAAAGCTAAACCAAAAGGAAAAACCCCATCTCCCCACGCTGGAGTGGCAAAGGATCAAAGGCTACTATCCCCGCAACCCTCCCCTTCCACATCTCAGATGGAAAGGGAGAGTGCCTTAGCCTGGCCACAGGCCAAGCAGGGACCATCGTTCATCTGTACAGGACGCCAATTCACCTCGGCCTTTAATTAGCCACAGACCAAATCCTTCATCCAGATAAGGGGTAACCCATAGGAACCACAAAAGGAGCACTCAAAACCCAGAAAACTTTGTAAGTGGGCTCTTGAGCCCCCTGCTCCGGGCCACTCCCACCCTGTGGGGTGCTTTCTCGCTTTAATAAATGCCTGCTTTCGCTGCTTCGTTTGTGTTTCATTCCTTTATTTTGTGCGTTTTGTCCAATTATTTGTTCAAAATGCCAAGAACCTCGACAACTTACACTCAAGGGCCTCCTACCGGTAACATTACGGGAAACACCATTTCCTCCTCACATTTCAGATTTGCTTCCAGTGAGGTAGGTACTTGGGCACTTGAACGCATCCCTTTAAAAAGGAGAAAGCTTTCTGATCTAGGTAGTGATTTATCTGGCAGTGCCTTCTCTCCACCAGCCTCTGGCCTTATTTTCCTGAAGATCAGATGAATCAACATAACTTTTGTAAACTAAGATCCAGAAAGGGCCTTTGGTTATTATCAGTAAATGCTGCGCTAAAGAAAGAATTGGTGGGCGGGTCACCACCCCAGGCTACTCCACACAACGCTATTCATCTTAGAAGCAGTAAGACCGGGGAAAGGTTTGCATCCCATTTGCTTATTCGGTCCTACTAAATCAGCCTTGGCAGGACACGACCTGCAAAATAACCCCGTGGATCCGTGGAGTCACGATACTGCAGGGTCAAAGGACGGCGTCGGCGGCTCTCCGCTGTTAGGGACCTAGCCGCGGAAGGCACCACAACCCTCATTCTTTACTCTTCCCGCCTGGGGGCCGGGAAGCCAAGCCTACCGCTCTGAGCACATCCAGGGTCCCCGGGCCCGGACTGCTGACACCGAGGCAAGGTCTCACCAGGCCCACTCTGCCCAACCTCCCCGATTCTCGCTTAGCTTCTCTTCCCTTTCGGGGTGCCCTCCCGCCTGCTACCCCGAGGGATGCGAACTCACGACCACCGCGGCGCCGGTGAAAATGTCCTCCCCCTCGGTGTCGCTGTCCCCAGCCTCGGGTTCTGACCCCCCGGCCGCCCCCTCGGACTCCGGCTCCAGGCCGGGGAAAGGCGGAGGGAGTCTCTCCGAAGCGCTACAGCCACCACCACCCGACGCCATCTTCCTCCACCCGCGGCGGAAGCCGCAACAACAACTTTATCGAGAGATAGCGCCGTGAGCAAAGCGATCCAACGGTGCGAGGACTGGGAGGGCCGCAAGGGACCCGTGGGATCCAAGGGGCGGAGGCGCAGGGGCGGGGCCTAGGCGCCGGGGGCGGGGCGGCACCCGGCCAGCTGAGGCTGCCCGGCAAATCCGAGGCCTGGATCGCGATGCTGAGATATTAATGAGTGGGGCCAAAGGGGCAGAAAAGTAGGAGTTAGGGGCTGCTCTGGTTCCTAGGGCCCTTTGTGCTCTGGATAGCTTTATCCAACAGGCTTCTAAGAGTTCGTCTGAATGAAGGAGTGTAACTAAAATGTTTGAAAACCTCTACATGCCATCTACCCATGCCAAGCACAATGCCCTCACAGAAGTCAGCACGAATTGGCCTTAGATTCCTCGACCCCAAAAATAAATATTTCGATTGAGGTATCTGAACAAGACTGGAAGAAAGCTTCACCACTTATTCCTTGAGCAACATTCAGTTAATTCATTAAGAAATACACATATTGAGCATCTACTGTATGCCTGGCAACTTGCTATGAGTTTCAGATACAGAAATAAGGAAGGTATTTAATCGACAGTTCAACATGTTCAATGCTATGGTGTGCTGTGGGAGCACAGGGAAAGAGATTATCAATTCTACTTGGAGAAGTCAGGAGGCCTCACAGAGGAAGTTAGACCTGTGTCCTAGATTTGGCTGGAAAAATGTTAGGATTATCCTCTCAATTGCTGTGGAGTAAGTGGAGTGGCATAGACAGCAGGGAAATTATTAAACCCTGATCAAAATTTCCCTGGGACCTAAGCAATTCATTGTCTGGTGATCCTAAAGCCTACATTAACTAGACAAACAGGACTGGAGTTTAAAGATAAATGGGCATGTTAGCATGGGACAATTCTGCAAGATAATCCTGTCTTCTCAATAGAGATGACATTTGTCACCATCTTTGACTAGAAGTTTAGTTAGTTTGGTTGTAACTGCAAATTCAGGGATGGACTCCCTCACAGGTCATGTGAGCTATTTGAAGGCAGGGGCAGCGTTTTATCTTTGTATCTTCCATGCCTATGGATCACCTATGACAAATTAGTACCTATAAATTTAATCGGAGGGATGGATGGATAAAATAAAATCGATTTTGTTACTGGCATCCATTACACCCACGAACACCAGAGGGCTTAAGATACACTTTTTTTTTTTTTCTTCGAGAGAAGTCTCGCTTTTCTCCCCCAGGCTTGAGTGCAATGGCTCGATCTCTGCTCACTGCAACCTCTGCCTCCCGAGTTCAAACGATTCTCCTGCCTCTGCCTTCCAAGTAGCTGGGATTAAGGTCCCTGCCACCACGCCTGTCTAATTTTTGTATTTCTTAGTAGAGACGGGGTTTGCCCATGTTGGCCAGGCTGGTCTCGAACTCCTGGCCTCAGGTGATCCGCCCGCCTCGGCCTCCCAAAGTGCTGGGATTACAGGCGTGAGCCACCGGGCCGGGCCAAGATACACTTTTAAGGATGACGATCTCCATTATGTCACCACTGTACACATTAGACACAGGAAAAGTTCTCCTGTTCTAAGTTGTCTTTGGAGGCCATTAGAAGAAATATTCGTTCGAAGGTGGGAAGCTGTGCTGGGCGGGACTGAGTTCCTTAGGAGACGAGAAAGCCAAAAAGCCTTCCCCATGCCATGCCTGACGACCTTACTGGCTTCCCCTGACGTCCCTTTTCACAGCAACTGAAACCCACTTCCTGTCCGATCAGGAAGTAAGAAAGATTTTGGCTGTTAGCGGCTCCCGCGGAGAAATAACTGTAAAGAGTCTCCGTGCTGGAAACCTCCTCCAACACTAGAACTCAAGATCTCCTTTCCCCTACCTCTTCGGGATTCATCTTTAACTTATCATGGATACTGAGTGAGATAGTCGCGGTTAACAGACCGTTACATTCACGTCTACCCGGCAGACACTACAAGACCCAGAATACAGTTCGCTGCCTTCCGAGGAAAATAGCTCACGCATCCCAGCATGCAATGCGCTAACGAGGCCACGAAGATTGTTTTTGTCCCGCCGAAACCGAGCAAAGCACGCTGGAACTTGTAGTCCTTGAGGCCCTTTCCTTAGGTCCTTCAAGCTACTCCGTCCGGCCCCGCCTATTCTCTGCTCTCCTGAACCTTTAGGCTCATCTCGGCCCATTTGAAGACCAGGAAGTTGATCAATCCCGAGGCTGCTGAGAGACGGTGGCGCGAGTGGGACAGTCGCCAGGGATGGCTGAGCGTGAGGATGCAGCGGGTGTCCGGGCTGCTCTCCTGGACGCTGAGCAGAGTCCTGTGGCTCTCGGGCCTCTCTGAGCCGGGAGCTGCCCGGCAGCCCCGGATCATGGAAGAGAAAGCGCTAGAGGTTTATGGTAATTAATTTTACCCGGCTCAGCATTTGGCGTTATAGGTGCAGGCCAGAGCTGAGGGGTGCGGGGATGATGGCCTCACCTGAGGGCTGGGAGGGGAGACCAGTTTTTTTTTTTTTTTTTCCTGGCGAGATCTTGTCCGGGGTGTAGCAGGCACTTTCTTCGGGGTCCTAAGTCACGGGGGAGTGTGGGTCTTTCTGGGAACTGGACTCTGAAAGTAAACCTGGGGCAAGCCGACTCCGGAGGTCTTAAGAGCTTCATTCTCCACGTGTGGCCTACGTCTTAGTGACCATTCCAAGACTTGTGGGAAGAGCACAAGTCTAGGGTGCTTGGTTAGGAAGCAAAACTGGCCTGATTGCACTACTAGAGCCTCGTTCTCTGGCTCCTGGACACACACTTTTGCTACCGCTGAGGGCACTTATAGGTGACAGTCGAGTTGGGGACTGGCCCAAGGTCACAGCCTCTCTCTCCGGCAAAGTCAGTAAGCAGAGGTCCCCGAAAGAAGAGAACGAGATTGGCTTCTTGTAGCGAGACGTTGTATACACACACATCACACACATACACACTCTTACATATTGTATATTAAATATTTTCTGTTTAACCCTTGGGGCCATCTTTATTGTACAAACAAGGAAACGAAGGTTTAAAGAACTACCTGGAGGTCACACTGCCAGTAAGGAGCAGCGCAAAAAAGCGAAGACTGTGCCTTCTGGCTCTAAACTTAATGCACTTTCCACCATTTCACGATTGACTTACAACTGTTTTTTGTTTTTTAAATTATGTTGTATTGTTTTTGAAAACCGAAAAGACTGGATATAATATTGGGAGATCTAAACATAGAATACAAATATAATTCAAGTAAGGATTATAGGCCAGTAGAAGGACGCCAGGGTTAGGGAATACTTTGGGAGCTAATCTGGTTGACCTCTCTTAATGGAGGCAGGACTTACCTAATCAACCCCCAGGCAGATGATAATTATGAGTGAAATGATCTCCACAAAGCAGACAGACCACATCCCTGTCGTGCCAGATCTCTGTTCACATAATCTAGGGATGGTAGGGCAGTGGAGATATAACTTTGGAAGAGAGTGACTCTAGTCTTCAAACTGATACTGAAGGAAACCTATTTATGCAAAAATAGAGTATGTAATAGAAGGCCGTAGACTGAAAAAGAGATACAGAAATTCAGAGAAGGGGAGATACTAGTCTCTGACTGAGGGAATCTGGAAAGACTTTGAAATAAAGAGGAGTCACTTGAGTTGGGCCTCAAATAATAATTAGGATCTAGATATGTAGAGGGTCAGAGGGCATACTAAGAGGAAACTTAAAAGTATGGAGATAAGAAGATAGGAAATGACAGATAGATGGGGCTATAGGATAGGGTTTGTGGTTAAAGGTGGAGATGTGGTTGAATATTGTTTTAGGTAGTGGGATACAATTGGATACTGAAGGTTTTAAATATAAATGAAGAATTTTAATATCAGTGCAGGGCTGTGGAAGAATGTTAGTCTGGGGAGTATGAGGAGAGCTTTCTTTTAATTTTTTTTTTTTTTTTTTTTTTTTTTGAGACAGGGTCTCACTCTGGTGCCCAGGCTGGAGTGCAGTGGTGCAATCACAGCTCACTGTAGCCTTGACCTCCGAGGCTCAAGCCATCCTCCCACTTCAGCCTCCTGACTCACTGGGACTATAGGCATGCACTACCATGCCCAGCTGATTTTCGTGTTTTTTTGTAGAGATGAGGTTTTGCTGTGTTACCCAGGCTGGTCTTGGACTCCTGAGCTCAAGTGATCTGCCTGTCTCGGCCTCCCAAAGGCTGGGATGACAGGCATGAGCCACCACACCTGACCCTTCTTTCTTTTTAAAGAAATAAAGCCAAACCTCTCAAATCTAGAAACTAGAAAACTAGAGAAATGTAATAAGGATGAGATTTAATTTCAGGGTTTAGTGGCATATAAAGAATATAATACAGTTAAATGAGCCTTATGGGGAGAAAGCCTAGTATGAGAGGCAGAAAATTCCTTTTCAGAAAACTCTGTTTCCCTAAGTCCCATGATAACACAGCTCTGTGAAAGAGAAACTTTATCCACTTTCTTTCCTGTATTTTCCAATTCTGTTTCTTTTTTTTTTTTTATCCTGTCACCCAGGCTGGAGTGCAGTGACACAATTTTGGCTCACTGCAGCCTCAGCCTCCTGGGTTCAAGTGATTCTCCTACCTCATCCTCCTGAGTAGCTGTGATTACAGGCACATGCCACTACACCTGGCTAATTTTTATATTTTTAGTAGAGACGGGTTTTTGCCGTGTTGGCCAGGCTGGTCTTGAACTCCTGAACTCAGGTGGGTGGTCCACTTGCCTCAGCCTCCCAAAGTGCTGGGATTACAGGCATGAGCCATCATGCTTGGCAAAATTCTGTTTCTAATCAAGTGACAAGCCCAGGAGCAACTTAAAGAGAAAATAGAGTTTGTTCTTGTTTTTCCCAGTTGCATTTCTGATTACATATAATTTTGTGTGATAAATAATAGAGCAAAACTTCAGATTTGAGAACCTCAAGCACGTTCTATGTAAAGTTCTGCTTCTTTCCTTTCTACCTCACCATTTCTCCTTATTGTTCTTCTTTCCTTCATCATTTTCTCCAGCCTCAGAGTAAGAAAGAAATCTTGTCTTTTCCAAGGCCAACCCAGACTCCTGAATTTTTGATCCCATTCCCTTCTGCTTATTTTACCAGTCTCCCTTCCTCCCCACTTATATTTTCAATTTCTCTTCTCAAAGTTGCCCTTATACTTGTCATTGTTCTAGCTTCCTCATAAAGTCACTGTCCTTTTCCTGTCCCTCCTTTCCCAGCTAAGGCCCTAGGAAGACATTTTCAGTTCCTGCTTGCTTCCCCTTTTGCAATCCGGCTTCAGCCCACCCCCTCTCTACTGAAACTGCTTTCTTACAGCTGACTGGGGTGACAAATGAAAGACCCGTTTTAGCTCTCATCAGCCTGAATTTTTCTGCAGCATTTAATGTTATTAACCATCCCTGTCTTTCTTTCTCTAGTTCTTTTTGCTTTTATTTCTCATTCTGATCCCTAAATTAGGTGCTTCGCATGGATCTGTTGGGTCTCTTTTTTCTTTATACCACTGATTCTCAGACTGGGTTGTACCTAAGAACAACCTGAGGAATTTTTAAAACTCAAGGCCAGCAAACCAATTAAATCAGAGTCTCTGGAATTGGGGCCCAGCATCAGTTTTTGTTTGTTTGTTTTTGTTTTTTAGACGGAGTTTTTGCTCTGTTGCCCAGGTTGGAGTGCAATGACGAAATCTCAGCTCACTGCAACCTCTGCCTTCTGGGTTCAAGTGATTCTCCTGCCTCAGTCTCCCAAGTAGCTGGGATTACAGGTGCCCAGCACCACGCCTGAGTAATTTTTGTATTTTTAGTAGAGACAAAGTTTCACCATGTTCACCAGGCTGGTCTCGAACTCTTGACCTAAGGTGATCCACCAGCCTCAGCCTCCCAAAGTGCTAGGATTACAGGCCTGAGCCACTGCACCGGGCCTTGTTGTTTGTTTTGAAACATTCTTGGTAATTCCAATGTTCAGCCAAGGTTCTGCTTATTGTTTGTGAATCCTGTGGGTTTAACAACCACTCTAGCTTTGGTGCTGTTTTAAACCCTATGCTACAGTTCACCGCTTGCTAGAAAACTCCACTGGATAACCCCTTAAGCACCTCAAAATCATTCTGTATGAAATTGAACTCATTTGCACTATGCCCCACCCAGATGTCTCCCTTGTTCTGTTTCTTTTAATTCTGCCAGTGTTCTCCTAGGTGCTATTTTAGGCCTGGTGTTTTTAGCTGGTATCATTGGTTCTGCTTTTTAGTCTGAGTCTAGCAGCTGACGATGAGTTACCAACTGACAGCACAGTGTTGTCCATGTCACTTGTCTCTAACCTCTTGAGGACTCCCTATTGCCAGTAGCTGGCTGTAAAAGACACTTGATGGTCAGACCCAAATCTCATACTCTAATACTCCTTTCACTTATGCCTACTTCCAGGCAAACTAGGGTTCTTCTTCTTTACTTTCCTTCACTTCTTTTCTTTTTTTTTTTTTGAGATGGAGTCTCACTCTTGTCGCCCAGGCTGGAGAGCAGTGGCTGGATCTCGGCTTACTGCAAGCTCCACCTCCTTGGTTCACGCCATTCTCCTGCCTCAGCCTCCTGAGTAGCTGGGACTACAGGCACCCGCCACCATGCCTGGCTAATTTTGTTTTTGTATTTTTAGTAGAGACAGGGTTTCACCGTGTTAGCCAGGATGGTCTCGATCTCCTGACCTTGTGATCCACCCAAAGTGCTGGGATTACATGCATGAGCCACCACACCCAGCCGTTTTTTTTTTTTTTTTTTTTTGGAGACAGGGTCTCGCTCTGTTGCCCAGGCTAGAGTGCAGTGACACGATCTCCGCTCTCACTGCAACCTCCGCCTCCTAGGCTCAAGCGATCCTCCTGAGTAGCTGGGACCACAGGCCTGTACCACCACACCCAGCTAATTTTTGTGTGTATTTTTTGTAGAGACGGGGGCGTCTCACTATGTTGCTGAGGCTGGTCTCAAACTTCTGAGTTCAAGTGATCTTCCTGCCTTTGCCTCTCAAAGTGTTTGGTTTACAGGTGTGAGCCACCATGCCCAGCTACTTTCCTTCACTTTAAATGTCAAATATAATGTTACCTATTTTTCAAGGTTTTATTCAGATTCCACTCCTATGAAGCCTGATACCACATTATTTCAAGCTGAAAGTTATGTCTTCCTCTTGAGCTTCCATGACACTGTTTCCATTCTTACTATGTTTTCTCTGCAATGTCCGATTAGAGAAACTGGATATGGTCTTATAGTAATCCAAGAAAACAGTTTTCTCAAGAGGAAACCAGTAGTGAAAATTTCTGTCAGAAACCTGGGAGTTGCTGTAGTATTGGCTTAAATGTAAGAGAAGTCAGTGCTTAAATTAGGCCTGGCAAAATCTTTATTTAGAATAGTCATTTTTAATAGAATATCTTATCTCTGATGATTCTTTAGATTTGATTAGAACTATCCGGGACCCAGAAAAGCCCAATACTTTAGAAGAACTGGAAGTGGTCTCGGAAAGTTGTGTGGAAGTTCAGGAGATAAATGAAGAAGAATATCTGGTTATTATCAGGTTCACGCCAACAGTACCTCATTGCTCTTTGGCGACTCTTATTGGTAAGTTTTTATGTGCATACATGTATATTTATATAAATTCTAAATTATTCTTGCTGATATTGACCCATAATAACAATTTGCGTCATTGTTGAAAAATCATACAGTGTATGTATTACATTTATGGTTTACAGAGTATTTTTATGTATTCATCTTCTGTAGTCCTCACAATTAGCTTGTTGAGTTAAAATATTATTATCTTCATTTTGCAGATGAGGAACCTGAAGCTCAGAGAGTTTAAGTGACTTGGACAGAATCAGGTAGCCAGGAAATGGTGAAACTAAGGCTCATACCCAGATTTCCTGACTCCAAATCTGCTTCTCCTTTAGTTATGTCAGGTTGCCCCTCCCAGGTATACATGCCCACAATTAATGGAGAGTGCATGTGGGCCAGCGCTTTTCCTCAGTTGTGGAGGTTGGAGTCGGTGGTGTCAGACTAACATTGCTGCCATCACCATCTCCTTTCACTGACTCTTCTGCCTTCTACATAGTATGGGCAGAAGTCCTGTTAGGAGGCTGGATTCCCAGTATTTTGGACTTGTTAGCAGGTACAGTAAGTGTCTTTGAACATATGCTTTGTTATAAAGGGATTTTATTTCAAACCAAATGTTCATGAGTAGGGGATTGATTAAATAATCAGTGATAGTGAATGTAAACAGTGGAATACTATGCAGCTATAAAGAATGAAGAAGCTCTGCATGTACTGATATGGAGAGATCTCTGTGACATACTGTTAAGAAATAAAAGCAAGTATTTTGCTATCATTTGTGTAAAAGCAAAAATATACATTTGTATTTGATTGCATATGCCTGAATAATATTAATACATAAATGAATAGCTATAAGGGTGTTAGCGGGTAATAGTGGTGGTGGGAGCTGGGCAGATGAGGGAAAGGGTGGGAGGGAGACTTTATACCATTTTATGCTTTTACATTTTTGAACCATGGGACTTTCTCACCTATTAAAAATCAACAAGTTTATAAAAAATATTGAAAAGGTCACTATTTCATTATTATTTCCACTATTGTGATTTCTGTCTTTTCTCACTGGTTGACCTGGGTTCCCTCTATTAGTGGTTTCCACCATATAGGCCACATCTTGAGGTCTGTGAATCCATAGGTATTATTGTGGTTATTAAAATCCCATTGCTGACTGCACACGGTGGCTCACACCTGTAATCCCAGCACTTTGGGAGGCCAAGGTGGGTAGATCACTTGAGGTCAGGAGTTCGAGACCAGCCTGACCAACATGGTGAAACCCTGTCTCTACTAAAAAAAATACAAAATTAGGCCAGGTGTGGTGGCTCACACCTGTAATCCCAGCACTTTGGGAGGCCAAGGCGGACAGATCATGAGGTCAGGAGATGGGTAACACGGTGAAACCCTGTCTCTACTAAAACTACAAAAAATTAGCTGGGCATGGTGGTGGGTACCTGTAGTCCCAGCTACTCGGGAGGTCGAGGCAGGAGAATGGCATGAACCCGGGAAGCGGAGTTTGCAGTGAGCCTGAGATTGCGCCACTGCACTCCAGCCTGGGCATCAGAGTGAGACTCCATCTCAAAAAAAAAAAAAAAACATTACCGGGCATGATGTACTCACCACCTGTAATCGCAGCTACTTGAGAGGCTGAGCAGGAAAATCACTTGAAACCTGGGGAGGCAGAGGTTTCAGTGAGCTGAGATCATGCCATTGCACACCAGCCTGGGCAACAAGAGCAAAAACTTCATCTCAAAAAAAAATAATTCCCGTTGGCATGGCGGCTCACGCCTATAATCTCAGCCACTTTGGAAGGCTGAGGCAACAATCACTTGAGGTCCGAAAGTTCAAGACCAGCCTGGCCAACATGGTGAAACCCCATCTCTACTAAAAATACAAAAATTAGCTGGGAATGGTGGCACGCACCTGTAATCCCAGCTACTCAGGAGGCGAGGCAGGAGAATGCGCTGAACATGGAGGTGGAGGTTACAGTGAGCTGAGATTGCGCACTGCACCCCAGCCTAAGTAACAGAGCAAGACTCTGTCCAAAAAAAAAAAAAAAAAATCCCATTGCTAGAAAAAAACATTACTGAGTGTTGAATGCATGATTATTTTGGTCATTGGACAGTTGTGAATGAGCAGATACTGAAAGTACCTGTATGGATGTTGTGGAGGTGGTGTCTTAAATATTTTGACATAGAGCAAGAGTTCTTAAATAGAGAGTTCAAGAACCTATAGCAAATTTTATTTATTTATTTATTTTTGAGATGGAGGTTTGACTCTTGTCGCCCAGGCTGGAGTGCAGTTGTGTGATCTTGGCTCACTGCAACCTCCACCTACAGGGTTCAAGCGATTTTCTGCCTCAGCCTCCCAAGTAGGTGGAATTACAGGCACCTGCCCACCACGCCTGGCTAAATTTTTTTGTATTTTTAGTAGAGATGGGGTTTCACTATTTTGGCCAGGCTGGTCTCAAACTTACGATATCAGGTGATCCACCCCACCTCAGCCTCCCAAAGTGCTGGGATTACAGGCGAGCCACCATGCCCAGCCAGCAAATTCATTTGTTAAATTAACATTTATTTCAGTTATACAAGTAACATGTTTATTGGCAGTAATTTTGATACCCCACAAAAACATAAGAAAAAATTAGCTATTATGAAAGAATGTGGCTGGACCCTATGTGGGAGGCTGAGGCAGGAGAATCGCTTGAACCCGGAGCGAGTTGCAGGAAGCCGAGATCATGCCACTGCACTCCAGCCCAGGCAAGAGTGCGAGACTCCGTCTCAAAAAAAAAAAAAAAGAATATATGCTCTGGGCTAAAATTCCAGATCTATTGGCTGTCCTGTATTGTGGGCTTGGGCAAGTTACTTGACCTTTCTAAGACCCAGTTTCCTTATCTGTAAAATAGGAATAATAAGGATATCTGTAGAGTTGTAAGAGTTAAGTAATAACATGAAATATCTGAATTATTTTTCTCATTAAATATTTCTTTTTTTAAACTTTTGTTGTTGAGACTGGGTCTCACTCTCGCCCAGGCTGGAATGCAATGACACGATCTCGGCTCACTGCAGGCAGCCTCCACCTCCCGGGCTCAAGTGATCCTCCCTCCTCAGTCTCCTGAAAAGTTAGAACTTCAGGCAGGCGCCACCATGCCTGGCTAGTTTTGCCATGTTGCCCGGGCTGGTCTCAAATTCCTGGGCTCAAGCAATACACATGCCTCAGCCTCCCCAAGTGCTGGGATTACAGACATGAGCCACCATACCCGGCCATCATTAAATATTATTTAATTATATAGTTATAGGTTACATGCTAATCATATTGATACATCGTAAATTTTGTAACCATTTGGACTACTTCTAGCCTTTTGCAATTATAAATAATACTGTGATGAGCAACTTTATTTTATTTTATTTTTTGAGATGGAGTCTCACTTTATCGCCCAGGCTGGAGTGTAGTGGTGCAATCTTGGCTCACTGGAGCTTCCACCTCCCAGGTTCAAGTGATTCTCCTGCCTCAGCCTCCCAAGTAGCTAGTATTACAGGCGTCCTCCACCATTCCCAGCTAATTTTTGTATTTTTAGTAGAGATGGGGTTTCACCATGTTGGCCAGGCTGGTCTCGAGCTCCTGACCTCAAGTGATATGCCCGCTTCGGCCTACCAAAGTGCTGGGATTACAGGTGTGAGCCATCGCGCCTGACTGGACAACTTTCCCCCATGCTCTTCTAAATACAAATTAGGCCGGGCATGGTGCGCCGCTGTAGTCCCAGCTACTCGGAGGCTAAGGCAGGAGAATGGCGTGAACAGGAGGCGAGCTTGCAGTGAGCCGATGCACCACACTCCGGCGCCTGGGCGGACAGGAGTGAACTCTGT